TGCTGTTATCTGAGAAATTATTTCTGATTTCACTTTGTTCCTCAGATCCTCTATTTTTTTATCTGTGTCCTCTCTAGATTTATTAATCATGTCTTGCACTATGGGCACAATCTTTGCTGTCATCTGTGAAATTATTTCTGATTTCATTTTTTCCAGATCCTCTTTTGTTGCCAGTTCAGGGAGTCCAGGTGGTTGAGTATTAGACTGTTCCATCTCATTTCCCTTTGGGGTTGATATAGGTGATCTGGAAGTCTGTTTTTGAGGCTTGTTTACATGTCTTCTCATTTCCACGGTGGGTAGGGTGGGTATGTGTGCTGCTGGTGCCTGCGCAGCTTACCTCCTCTGCCCTAGGAGCAGTAGAATGGTGGTGGGGGAGCCTCCTCCTGGGCGATGGGATTGGCTCACCTCCTCTGCCCTAGGAGCAGTGGAATTGAGGTGATAATCTCACAGGCCGACTCCCGAGGTGCACATCACTGGCAGGCTCAGACACCGAGCTCTGGAGCTGGCGCAGCCGCAGTCAAGGATGGGCCGCCGCTGTTGCTGCAGCTGTTGTAGCTGCTGCCACTGCTATACTACTGCTGCTGCCAACACTGCCTTCTGTGCCTCAGCTATGTGCGTTGGGCCTGGCAGGTGGATGTGCCTGTCTCCCTGGCTCCCTCAGGTTTCACAGCCACTGCCGTACCAGGCTGGGGCTACCTCTCCAGCGGGCTGCTTGAGTGGTGCCTGGAGCTTGGTCTGTGCAGTGGCTGTGGGTGTCTGTGACAGGGAGAGAAGGGTGGCTGCTACTGCTGCGGTCACTGTTAAAGCTATTACCAAATGGTGCTACTGTCCTTATGGCTACTGCTGTGGTGGTGGTTGCTCTTTAGGTATCACTTTTGACTCACAACTCTTCAACAGCACTCCATTTTAGGATAAGGTGTACACTCTTCAGTTTATCCTAAAAAGCAATCTATGACTTGGGCTCTGCTTCCTTCTTGGGCTTATGTCCAACCATGTTCAAGGGCAGCCACTATGCCCTTTCCAACATGGCATCTTTCCTCTTTGCTTACCCACCCGAATGCTGGTCTATGCTTTACCTCTCCTGATACAACTATCTGCCACTCTTCCACTTCTATGTCCAGCATAAAGTGTCCAGCAGCTCTCTGCAATCTCATTCCACAGCAAATGTCTATAACCTATTCAGTGTATGCTTAACTTTGCCTTATCTGAAACCTGGCTCTCTATCAAGGATACCTGGTACCCTTGTATCTGAAGACAATCCCTCCTCTCCTATGTTACAGAATTTTGTCCCATTTGTATTTCTTCTCTCTTATACTTTCTACTCCTCCTTCTCAACAACAAAAAACATACTTATTTTCTCATCAAAAAACCCCAATGGGCGAGGGGGTGTAGCTCAGTATTAGAGCATATGCTAACATGTGTGAGGCCTAGGTTTAATTCCCAGCACCAACAAAATAAACAAACATCCTTCACCAGAAACCAACAAACCAACTGACATTACCTCAGCCTTCTGTCTCCTCTGATTCCTGCCCTCTTGCTCCTCTGCTCAGGCCCAGACCTCTCCAGTGGTCTGTACTCATTTTTCCATGTTCTACCCTGTTCTCCAAGTCCTGCAATACGGTTTCAGATCCCATCCTTTCACTGCCCTCTAGTGCTTTCTACAGGGGTCATGTGCTTTCTGCTGCTGAATCTAATGGGCAGTTCTCAGCCTGTAGCTTGGTTCTGAATGTGGGGCCATAGAGCAGTAATGCTCAGTGGACTCTTAGGAAATGAGCTGCAAAGTAGGAGGTGAACTGCAGGCAAGTGAGAAGCTTTATCTGTGTCTACAGCTGCTCCCCATTGCTGGCATTACTGCCTGAGCTCTACCTCCTTCCTAATCAGATCATGAGTGTCATGGAAACAGGAACCCCATTGTGAACTGTTTCCTTGAGCTCCTTATATGAATCCAGTGCCTGACATCTGAGGTAGAGCTGAGGCAATGATGCTAGGCTGGAGAATGTAGTATTGCAAATATATACTACAAAAAAAAGAAAGAAAGAATGAACCAACGAATGAACCTCACCCCAGCCATGGAAAAAATTGTCTTCCATGAAACTGGTCCCTGTTGCCAAAAATGGTGGAGACAGCTGCATTCAATAACTTCCTCTTTCTTTAACACAGTCTCCTCTTGGCTGCTGTGACAACATTCTTTTTCCTCTACTTCTCTGGTCACTGCCTTGTTTGCTTACATTGGCCCTTTATCTCTGCCCACTTTCTGACATGCTGGTGCTCCTCTCTGAGGCCTTCTCACTTTACTTTAGACTGACATCTCATCTTTTTACTTCTAACTTGACCACATTCCCTCTCCAGGTTCTAATTAACACTGGAGTTTTAATAATTTATCTTTAATTTTTCAAAGAATCTGAGAACATTACCTCTTATTTAACAGATAACAGTATGGTTTAAAAAATCTGTTAAATAACATGACACAAATCTCACACCTTAATTCTCTTAACAATACTTTAGTTAAATGAAACACACATATGGAAATTTAACAACAAATGAAAATTACCTCTATCGCCAAGGTCTCTAAAAAAGGTTGATCCACAACCAGCCTTTTGGATTCCTGCCAGGACATCCTCGATATCCTTTGAATACACATATTAAAATCTTTCAATTTAACTTATAAAAGTTCATTTTCTATCTTACCCCCAGCAAACAAACAAACAAACAAGCAAACAAGCAAAACAAAACAAAAAAACCCAACCACAGCATATCTCTTACCTTTTTTGCCAGCTTCTTGACTGAAGTTTTACCTACAGCAGAAAAGAAACATTATTTTAGTGCCCTTATTTCTTGGTAAACTCAACTTGTACTAAGAAAATTATTTACAAGATAACCAACCAAATATTTATAAAAAATAAAGGTTTATCCTTAAATTGAAATTTAGTACCCCTAAATTATGAGCCAAATAAAGTCTAAAAATACAAGATAATGTTTTTTTTCAAGGTCTGAGATTCTATCTCATGCCAGAAAGAATAGCTATATCAAGAAATCAACCAATAACAAATGTTGGCAAGACTGTGGGGAAAAAGGAATCCTTCTCCACTGTTAGTGGGAGTCTAAATTGATAAAACTAATATGGAAATCAGTATGGAGAGTCCCTAAAAAGTAAAACTAGAGATTCCATTTGACGCAGCCATTCCTCTTCTTGGTCCCTTCCCAAAAGAGTTAAAAGCATCATACCACAGCAGTATATCACACCCATGTTTATTGGAAACAGCCCATACGTCCATCAACAGATGAATGAAGAAAATGTGGTATTTATATACAATGGAGTACTATTCTGCCATAAAGAAGGGTAAACTTGAGTCATTTGTTGGTAAATGGATCCAACTTGAGACCATAATTTTAAGTGAAATAAGACACACAAGTTTAAATATCGCATTGTTTCTCTTATGTGAGAAACCCAAAGGATAAACAAGGAGCAAAATGGGAAACAGATATTAGGAAGCAGGAAGAACAAGTTCAAATGGGAAGGGGAACAAGGGAGGGGGAAGGGGGAAGGGAAGGAAGGAAAAAATATTTTAAAAAGAATGGAAGGAAAAAATGGAAACAAAGCCTATGTAAATGGGGAGGGGAAGAAGGCTGAAGGGAGAAGAGGTGAATGGGAAAAAAAGAATTAAGATATATTATGACGACAAAGCTTTTTTTTTTTTTGGTACTGGGGATTGAACTCGGGACTCTGCGCTTGCAAGGCAGGCGCCGGAACAATTAAGCTAAATCCCCAGCCCCTAATATATATTATGTATAGTTACAAATTCCCTATGATGAATGTGAGCACTATGTATGGCAAATATGTACTAATAAAAATTTAAACAAGCAAACAAACAAAAAATTAGAAAAGATTTCATAAATGTATCATCCTGATCCTGGCCTTTTGGATAAGTTATTATCTTCATCTGACATATAAAACAATATACAAGAGGACTTCAGTCATACTGGCACTGGAGGATTTGTTTTCTCATACAAATTTGTCAAAAAACAGGTTAGACTCTGAGTTCCATGGAAGTATAGTAGTGAAAATCTGTGCACTAATTTTAACTCAACTGATTAATTACACATGATATGATTATAGAGGCAGTTCGGTTGCTTTCAGTTATAATTAAAACTAGTAACACTAGCTATTTCACATGAATTTTAAGATGTTTGAAACATAGGAAACTGACTATAAAAATAGAAAATCCAGTATATCAGACTGATATGAGTTCCTTGATATGTACATCTATATGTACGTATACCTACAAATCTCAACCAAAATCAGCTATCATAAAAGCATGCAGTTCAAATCTGTTACTTTTGCAGCAGCCTCCATTTTATAAACATACTGTAGAGTTAATCTGGGAACCAAGTGAAATGCTTCAAGTGTGAAAGAGGGAAGTTGTGTGCTTTTGGCACTAAATAAGTCTTAGGGCAATGCCTTTTTTTTTGGTACCAGGGATCGAACTTGGGTTTTGTGCTTGCAAGGCAGGCAGTGGAACCACTGAGCTAAATCCCCAGTCCTGGCCAATGACTTTTGATGGCATGTTCCAAAAGAGTATAAACTGGCATTGATAAATGACCTTTAAATAGTCCTTTCAGGGTCTCATTAAAACAAGCAAAACAAAACAGAAACTGTATGTACATGAATATTAGAAGAATCCAAAAGAAACCATGAAATTAGGAAGTGGAATCATTTAGTATTAAATTCTTTATCTTGTTTTACTTTTTATTGGTTATATAGAAATCCCAGGAAATAGGATTAAAATGGTTGGAATTCCAAAGCATCTCAAATTTAGAATTACTTTGAGGCTATTGGAAGAGCAAAAATATGTTTTGGGTTTGGATTATGAAAATCATGGTATTTAAAAACTTTTATTCTTGCCTGTAACTCATCTCTTCTTTCAGTGATTGCTTTTTATATCATTCAGGGAGGAAAAAGTATTAGTGAGACTAACAGTAAGTAGACTATCAGCAGAAAAATGCCTGGAGAATATAAGCAGAGGGGCTGTGTCCTTTCTGAGTCTCCCTAGGGGAGGTGCAGTACATCCATAAGAATAAAAGGATAGCCAATGGGCTTTCAACCTGCTTTTCACCAGCTGGAAATGCACACTCTGGTGTGGGGTGGGCTGGTGATAAGGTAGGCAACAAATACATTTTAAATTATTTGCCATCTTGCAGTTTGACAACTAAGAAAATTTATTACTGAGCTCCATTCAGTGTGTGTATGTGTGCGTGTGCGTGTAAGAACACCCAGACAATGACTGGCAGATTGGATATTTAGTGTTCAAAGGCCGTGAGGGCAGATGTTGCTCATCGCACTGGTCCACCGAGGTACTGATGTTCTGCTCAGCTGGAGGAAGGGGAAGTGAGGCATTCTCAGTGAATCACTGGGGGCCTACAGAACTGACGTTTTTGGGGGGATAAATGAATCACTAACTTGTGCTTTTAAGACCTTTGAAGAGATAAAATCCAGTTGGCTCCAATCCATCAATTAGCTTTATTTGAACTGTACTATATGAATGTTTTGGTTTACCTACCTGGTTAGACCCACAAGTTCTCAAATATAAGAAAAGTATATAAATAATCATGTTTTTATTATTTTACTGTCATTCTTTATTTCTGTATGTTTTCATAACCTATTGAATTCGTTCATTTAAACTATATAGCTTGGCAGTTTTTGTATAGAGTTGTACCACCATCACCACAATTTCAGGATATTTTCATCACCCCACAATGAGAAAGCCTTTAGAAGTAGTCACTCCTCCCCCTCTCCTCTACTAGTCCAAGGAAATCACTAATCTAGTTGCTGCATCTATGGATTTAACCTATTCTGGATATATTATATAAATGGAATCATACAATATGTGGTATTTTTGTCCCTGGCTTCATCCATTTAGCACGATAGCCTCAAAATCCAAGCATGTTATAGTGTATGTCTGCACTTCATTTTTATAGTGTAGAAATAATACTCTATTGTATGGATGGATATTCCACATTTTGTTGATCTTTTATTTACTGATAAACATTTTAGTTGTTGCTATTTTTTTTTAGCTATTATGAATAATGTTGCTATGAACTTCTATGTGCAAATTATTGTGTGAGCACATGTCTTTCTTCTCTTAGATATATATCTAGGAGTAGAATTGCTAGGTCATGTGGTAACTCTAAACTCAGCATTTCGAGGAACTGCCCAACTGTTTTCCAAAGTGATGGCACCATTTTACATTCCTACTGGTAATATAAGATGGTTCTAATTTTACCACATTCTTGTCAATGCTTTTTATTGTTTGTAAAGAATTAATATTTAAGCATAAAAATTTTGGAGCATAAACCAGAAACGAAAGGAAATTCGAACAACTTGAAGTTGCACTGGATTGTTAAACACCAGCTGGAAATGCATACTCTGGTGTGGGGTGGGCTGGTAATAAGATAGGCAACAAACACATTTTAAATTATTTGCCATCTTGCAGTTTGACAACTAAGGAAATTTATTACTGAGCTCCATTCTGTGCGTGCACATGTGTGTGTACGTGTGTGTGTGTGTGTGTGTCTGTAAGAACGCCCAGATAATGACTGGCAGATTGGATACTTTTGTACAGTGTTCAAAGGCTGTGACGGCAGATGTTGTTCATGGCATTGGTCTCTAAGGTGACCCCTGAATGAACAACACAGCAAAGAACACTACACACTTCATACACAACTAAGAAACATACTAAGCACAAACTGTAGTCAATTTTAAAATTATATTTAAAATTTAGGCTTTGTTAGTGTGGAGATGTAAATGGACCTAAACCTTGGATTAGCCAATGGTTTCTTAGCTATGACACCTAAAACACAAACAACCAAAGGGAAAAAACCCCAGATAGATTGGACTTCATAAAAATTAAAAACTTTTGTGTATCAAAGGACGCTACTTAAAAAGTTGAAAGACAACCCATAGGATAGGAAAACTATTTCCAAATCATATCTGATAAAGATCTAGGATTCAGAATATGTAAGGAGGGCCAGGGATTTAGTTCAGTGGTTCTGCCACCTGCCTTGCAAGTGCAAGGACCCGAGTTCGATTCCCGGTACCAAAAAAATGTTTGCAGAATATGTAAGGAACTATTATGTCTCAAAAACAAAAAGATAAGCCTAATGAAAATGGGTAATATGAAGACATTTCCCCAAGAAAAACACAATGGCTAACAAGCATTGAACACATGCTCAGTATTATTACTCATCAGCAAAATGCAGATCAAAACCATAACCAGATAACACAACACTCATTAAGATGGCCATTAAAAAAAAAACCCCTCACCTCAGAAACTAACAAGTATTAGGAAGAATGTAGAGAAACTGGAACCCTCATATGAGGGTTGTCTTTTCACTTTAAAAAAAAAACATTGCCATGTATTTATTTAATAAAAGGGCATATTTATTTATGTTTACAAACAAGTTTCAAAAACAAAAACATGTATGCTTCTACTTATTAGCCTTTTTCAAAATGCCAGTAGCCCTCATGCTGTATGAAGGACTCGAAGGAGTAGAAAAATCAATACAGTTCACTCACAGTTCACCAACACATCACTGAACTAACATAGACAAAAACAAAAAGGACTAAAGTTCTCTTGTAGTTTGATAGTTTGATTTAATTTGATTTGCCTGAAATAATAAAAGCATTTCAAGCATCTTTCATTATGTAGTCGATGTCCTGCATTAAACAATCTACTAAATTCTGAACAAACATTATTAGCAAGTTTTCAAAAAATTTAAAAATTAAACAGTTGTTTCA